AGTGACACATTTTGTCTCAGCCACAGTGATTGGAGGCTAAAGGAGCCACATTTAATCTTCCCACCATAAACAGGAAGAAAGGGAGCTTCCAAACAAAAGCTTCCAGAGCTCACTGTCAGGTTAACCCAAAAATATGAGCCCCCTAGTTGTTTGGAAAGGATGGGAGCACTATCAGATATGTTCTCAGCATCACTCAAATCTCTGGTATGAACTCTGTGCTTTGGTTAAATGAGACCATGGCTGACATTACAATCCTTCAAACTCCAGGTGAGTTTGGAGCAAAACGGGATATGGACTTGAACACCGACAAAGACAGTGATAGTTCAGTATTGTAGAGGCTATTGCAAGAAGTTTAAGATGCCCTAATCTAAGAGAAATAGCTGAAGACACTTTTATCCGTGTGGTTCAACTTAACAGTGGTTTAACTTTGATCCTTTCCAAAGTGAAAATCTCTCTTACAGAAAAACGTATGAGCCAAGATTCTTAGGAAAGCAAGATGACATTTTTAAAGAACAACATCTAGTTTGTTGTTTTATTTCATTCATGCATATAAGCCACATCTACACATCCTTTTATATGTATGCTCAATGAACATCATCCATGTTCCTGAATGCTGCAATACTAAATAATTCAAAACAGAAATGCACTTAGGTTGTACATGTTCTAAACCGATAGGAAATGAAACTGCTCTGGATCTGTGTAAAATATTTCTAAGCCTCTCAGTGTCAAATACTTTAATTCATCTTCATAAACAGCAGATGCATTATTAAAGTATCTCCAATCCACTTAAAAAGTGGAAGTTCAGTAAAATTCTGAAATCATGTTCAGCTGTTGCAAAATAAAAGAAACATCAGACAACCCCAGCAGAACTGGAATTAGCCAATAAACAGAGTGTTGGTGTAGGGTTACTTAGTGATCAGTCAGGCGCTCAATAAAAGCAACACGGCATCATTACAGCTGTTTGTTCAGAGGAAACCTTCATTTCAGGACCTACGTGAGAGCTGTTATCCAAATGGCTTTCATATACACTACATCTCTATCCCAAGATGGAGGGTGGGGCATTCACGCTTTTGCTTTCCAGACTGATTACAGATTGTTGACTTGACCGAGGAGAGGAAGTCAAAATCTCCTGCACCCACACCCCCTAGCTTCAACAGCGACACATCTCATTTCTGCTGCTACCGCCATGATGGTGATGGAGGAGAGGAATAAAATGACCAAGCGCTAAGAGGATTGAAGTCGCTGCATTATGAAAATTTGAAAAAGCAGCATAACTATGAAAAAAAAGAATGAGATTTTCCAGTAATTGGCCAAGAAAAATGCAACAATTTAAATATACAAAGGCCACATAAAGGATCCAAACAATATAAGCTGTTTATAGATGACAGAATAAGAAAACATTTATGTGATAGGCGTCCTATAATCAACAGTTCTTTTAGAGAAGAGGTGACAGAGCTACTGGACTTTTTCCAAGACTATAATGACCTTACATTAATTCAGTCCAACCCCTCCCCTACCTGTTGCTACACTCCCTTGCTCAGCAAGATAAAACTTTGCAAGACTTTTCCTTGCCAACAGGAGACAAACAAGAAGATTCAAATTCAGGTTTAAGATTTGATTTTCTTCACTAAAAGATAAAATATGCTGTACAAATAATGTCTCAATAGATAATAGACACACCTACATATAAATAGAAATGCAACAATCCAGATTTTTCTGATCCAATCCAATACCTGGGCGGACGGTATTGGCTGACATCCGATACAGTTCCGATTCAACTGTTAAAGTCATAGGGAAGCGACTGTTCCAACAGTTTCAGTTCCAAATTCTCCTGAGTGGTGCCCGACTTTACACGAGTATATAATAAAGTGAATCTGATTGGTCGATTATCAACGGAGCGGGATTGTTGTGGCGGAAGGTTTGCAGCAAGTTTGGTTGTGGCCGATTAGTCGGAAGCATCTTGGTAAGCAGTTAGCAACTTAGTGCTAGTAGGTTCCCAATGGGAAATTATATTGGGACCAAGTAGAACTAAATTGGTGACTTAGAAACAACACTGTCAAGAAACGCTATGGACAGCAGAAACATGCAACAAAAAACGATTTGTGTTTCTTATTTCAACCGTTGCGTATATTTTCTGCAACGTATTAGGCAAGATGCTATGACCGAAAACATTTGATTGACAGATGCCCGATGCCAAATTTAGGTATACAAGCTGACATATAACTAACTGGTCTGCATAAAATTAAAAACAACACAAAAAAACACAGCTTTTAAGACAGATTTTTTTTTTTTTTTTTTTTTTTATGAAATTTTCTACCTTTTGGAAAAATATGGACTGATAAGAGTACATTTATATACATGTTTAAGCCAGAATGATTTGACATTTAAATATGACTTCCCTACGACTTTAAATGAATGAACCATATGTCCTGCCATGCCAGTGAAGATTTTAGCCTTGACATAATGTTGTTAAAAAAAGGTAACAAATTAACACGGATACAAATGTACTTTAAACTAATAATTAACAAATAAGCAAAAAAAAAAAATGTTTTTAAAAGAGTTCCATGTAAAATGCACTGGATTAGATCTCTGATATCCAATATCAAATCGTGGAAATCCGATTCAGATATTGGATCGGTTCATTTCTACATATGCCTCTAAGATGTGATCATCGCACCATAATAACTTTGACTCAAAATACAATAGTTTAAGGTTTATATT